TAATGGAGAAAAACCCTTGTATTTCATGGGCAAACCAATCTGTCCCTATGTGTATTTTGTCAAAGCTACATATGCTTGAGTTTTCATTGGGGTTGGGGAGGGTGCAATTTTTTTTTCTTTCTTTATTTAATCTGAGCTACTTTAATCCAAAAATCTTTCACTTTTGTTTTCCTCTTTGCATCATATTTGACCAGTCTGTTAATCTTTTACCTCTTTTGTCCTGTTTCCCTTTTCCTTCACTGGTGCATGTGCATGTTTTATTTCTTTCCCTGATATATTTTTGGAGCTCATCTTCACTATGTAGCCCATGATAATATAATGATACTCACTAAATCTGGTATCTGAGATGCAGCATATTCTGCAGAAGAAACACATCTACAGACTTTTTTAGAGAACACTACCTTGATCAACAGACTTTTGCCTTGTCCTCTGAAATTTATGTTGGAAGAATGACACTGGTCACCATGGTCTTTCTTCACATAGCTTGGACACAAATTATGAGCTCAAATACAACTTCACACTTTTTGTAGACTTTCAGCACTCCCTCGAAGATGATCTTCATAAACATCTATCACAGCATTGCTCTTCATTCACCACTACGTAGATACATTTAGCTTTCTACTCACACTAACAGCACGTGAACAGAGAACACCTGACCTCTGGGGTAACAAAATCAAGGCTCTTTTGACACCCATATTCAAGTCCACTTCATTCTGCTGTAACGTTACAAAAAACAAGCTGTCTAAGAGCATTCAGTGTGTATTTGGAAGAAAAGATTTACCGCTGAGAAAAAGACAAAAGGAAACCGAAGTGCTCCATGCATTGTTTAAATTAACTGGTATAAGCATTATGTATGTGTTGACGATTTATGTCCAGTTGTGCACAAATGAAAATCTTAAGGATAAATATAGTCTCTATATGAAAAGTCTGCTCCTCTTTTTCAAAATCATTTACAGTTCCTATGTTGAATGTGGTATCAGACCAAACTTAAAGCTCTTCAAGAATTCATCACTCTGTAACTAAAGAAAAACTAACATAACCACTCAGAGCTTTGTCGAGTTGATTGGATTTCTAAGCCAATTCAATGATAATCCTTTAAATTCATACAAGCAATTCTATGGTAAAAACCTCAGCAGCCTCTGAGCACCCAAAAAAGGGGAAAAAAAAAAATCTCAGAACAAGAAGCAGCTGTCTGTTCACTTAAGTCACAAACTGATTAAAACATTTTTAATGTAGTCTGGTGTGCTACAACAGGTGCAAGCCCATCAGTACAGCACTATTCATTGCTCTCAATCCTCAAGTGAAGTCGTATTGCTGCTGTGAAGGTGACAGTGTGACAGAGGTGGGGGCTATCCACCACTTCATGTAATTGCCACGAATGCTTTAACTTGGTCAGCCGGAATTGGTCAGGCAGTTGGACAAGATGATCCCTGTATGTCCCTTCCAACTGAAATATTCTGTTCTGCTCTGCTCTGCTCTACTTCTGAATCTCATGAGACCATGGAAATACAACCCTCAGATCCACCGTTTTCTTTTTTGTTCTGACACATTGTTTAAAAATGCTGTCTGCAATGGTATCTTATCCTTCCACTGAGCTACAAAAGTGAAGATGGAAACCAATTACCTGCTCCTCACTTTGGAAGGTAATTGACTATTAGTAAAGAAATCTATCTTCTCATCATATTGCTCTCTAAAAAGTACCTTTGAGACTCCCTCTTCACCAAATCGATAATCTCATTTTAGTCTGGACATACTGACACATGCATGGCGATGGATAAAATATAAGTACTAAATTTTACACAATTCATAACCTCTGTCAACAGTGTTGCTGACTTTCTAGCAAAAGCATTTTTGGGTTGCAGTCCTTCAGGATTTAACGTAAAGGCCAAATGTTTGAAATCAGCGAAACAGCAGTATTCTGAGTTTGGAACTAATTGACTGATCTCTAGGGGTTACAGGCTCACTGAGCCCAGCATGGACTCACTAGAGGTTCCAACCATTAAAACAATAACAGCAAAGAAAAGAAAAGATAACAAGGTAGGAAGTCTGTTTAACTGTTAAGGGCACAACATGAATCAAGGAAACAATAGCTAAGCAAAATAGACTGCTGGCTAAATGGAACTGTTCAAGAAGAAAATATATATGACTTTAGAGTGAGCTGCTGTTGGAGCTTGAACTGGTTTTCTTTCTTTTTTTGATTTCTGACTGGTTTCATTTGGCACTAAAACTGAGCTATGAAATTACCTCCTCATGTCTGCAAGAGACAGTCAACTGTACTTGAACTGGAAAATAGCTTGAACATCACATTCTGCACTGGCTGAACAGGAGCTGCAACATAGAAATCCCAGTTATCAGGGAAACAACCCAGGAATGGAAAATGCCTGACAGGTATATAAAACCACACAATCCTTAAGGATCGGTGCTTTGTGATGATGATGATGAGCCAAAACCAATAGACTGCTAGGAGAGCGCGGCATTAATTTCATAACCCTGACATCGTTACAGTAAGTGCTGGCAGCTGTGTAACCTGGAGTTAGGTTTTGCTGTCTCTGTTTATATTCTGAATTTATGCTAAACAAAAGCACACCTATACATGTACAGGTAAACACATATGCATGGTTTTGTTCTGGTCCCATTTTCACTCCTTATTCTTCTGTTGATCAGGTTCCGTGCGATATAGTATTGCATTTGCAGGGACAGAAAGCCTACTATGTTACTCTTGCAGACAACGTCTGTACTCTGACAGAAATATTTAGAAAAGCAGCACAAGTGGCAGCCCGTCATTTTGTCAGCGTTGTCTTGGATTAATTCCTTTCTCCCCTGAATTGAAACTAGCTATCCCTAAAATTCTTTCAGAACTAAAAATAAACTGTAAAACACTCTACAATTGTTACCAGAAAACGCCGTATTAGAAATGGATAGATGAAATCTGTATTTTGACCAAAGCCTGATGTATTGAAGCTTGTCAGTCAATTCAGCCATACCGAAATAGTCAAAATTCCATCTTCAACCACAAATGTCTTAGAACTGTTACACATTAAGTGACATGGCTGTGATACAGCCTGTCAGGCAAAGACCTACTTTGCCAATTGTACATTCACACAACTTCCACACCATCCTTAACCATCACTGACATGATTTCCAAATAATTAATTAACAGGTAACAGAGTTATTATTGCTGACAAAACCATGCATAGTCCAGAAGCAAGTGGTGCTTTGTTTGAGTCACTTTTTCAAACACAGTTGGTCATCATTCAGCACTGCTCTACACCAAACAAAATTTGAAACTTGCTTTTTTTTAAAAAAAAAACAAACTGTAGAAATTGATTGAAAAATAGAACCTCACCTGCCTATTAACTGTCAAAAGATGGCCAGAGACTCATCACATCACAGTCATCTTATGCTATTAACTTTCCTGTATTTTCCTGTAACTAGCTGAAACATCAGTTTAGTCAGGGAACATTGTAAACTCAAAATGTCACCAGTCTTACACCTGCCTGAAGTCCATTCTTAAAGAACACTAAGAGGTAGTAAAATAAATCCACTAGAATTACATTAATAAATAACCTCAGAAAATACGAAATCACAGATTAAAAGTATCAGATGAAAAAATCTTATCAGATTGAAGAACAGGTTAGTCCTTAAAGAAACTAAATAGTAAGCAGCTGTAGTCACTTCTTTATGGATTATTAGCTGACATCAGCCTGGTTTTCTCAAAATTCATGGCAATTCAGCTTATATCTCATATGCTGCTTACAAGTGAAGTAGAGATCACAGTACTTCAGTGGCTGCCTTTGCTCACCACAATGGCCAGTGAGCATAAATTATCTAACTTCACATCAATTCTGCTTTAGAAAATAGCCTGAAGAAAGTTATCACATGCATTTAGCTGAACTGAAAAGATAATCTGTTGAACAATTCTGGTGGTGATAAAAATCATAGAATCATAGAATCATAGAATGGTTAGGGTTGGAAGGGACCTTAAAGATCATCTAGTTCCAACCCCCCTGCCAGGGGAAGGGACACCTTCCACTAGACCAGGTTGCTCAAAGCCACATCCAGCCTGGCCTTGAACACTTCCAGGGATGGGGCATCCACAGCTTCTCTGGGCAACCTGTTCCAGTGCCTCACCACCCTCGAGAGAGTGAAAACTGGATGCAGTACTCCACATACGGTCTTACAAGGTCCAGGTAGAGAGGAGTATGACTTCCCTGGCTCTGCTGGCTACACTCTTGCCAACACAGCCCAGGATGCAGCTGGCCTTATTTGGACAAGGGCACGCTGCCAGCTCATAGAATCACAGAATGGTTTGGGTTGGAAAGGACCTTAAAGATCATCTAGTTCCAACCCCCCTGCCATGGGCAGGGACACCTTGCACTAGACCAGGGTGCTCAAAGCCACATCCAGCCTGGCCTTGAAGACATCCAGGGATGGGGCATCCACAGCTTCTCTGGGCAACCTGTTCTAGTGCCTCACCACCCTCTCTGTGAAGAATTTCTTCCTGATATCTAATCTAAACCTCCCTGATTTCAATTTGTACCCATTACCCCTTGTCCTATCACTACAGGCTCTTGTAAAAAGTCCTCTCCCAGCACCCTTGTAGGCCCCCTTCAGATACTGGAAAGCTGCAATGAGGTCTCCTCGGAGCCTCATGTTCAACTTCTTGTCCAGCAGGACACACAGGATCATTTCTGCAGAGCTGCCTCCCACACAATTAGCGCTGAGACTACACAGTTTCATGGGATGCTTCCATCCCAAGTGTAGGACTTTGCACTTGATTTTGCTGATCTCCGTGATGTTCCCCCTCAACCCAATTCTCCAATCTGTCCAGGTCACTTTGAACAGCATCTCTTCCAGCTCTGCCCTACACTGTAGTGATTGCTCCACTCAATCTGATGTCCACAAACATGTGCACAGTGCACTCCAATGTTTACTTGCTTGTCCTTGTAAGAATTTTGCTTGTTTTATCTATAATAGCCCAGCTTCAGCGAGGCCATAATTCACTTCTGAAAGGCAGGAACAGCATAAAACTTCATGTTTCCTTGGTTAATATGTTCCATCACTTCTCTGCAACTCAGTTCAAGCCAGCTCAGCCATGTTATCACAGTCCTCAGCAGGCTCAGAATATCCACTTAATGGCATCTACTACCTATGCTTTTACATTAAAGTGACTCTTCTCTGTGCCTTCTAACTTTTCACCCAGCCTGTCCACCTGGCTTTTTCTAAGCCCAAACTAGAGGGGTTTTTTTGTTTCTCTTGCAAAAAATACAGCTGCAAAGTCAGTCCCAGAAGTTTGACATTAAAATGAAAAACACATCCCTCTGTCTTCCTGGAGAGTTTAACTAGGTTTACAGTTTTAGGTAGATCTATAAGTGAAAAAGTTGCAATTTGAAAAGATCTGGCATATAAAAGAAAACAGAGAGATAACTAAATAATTTGGCTGTAGAAAATACTCAAGCTTTTAAGTTGCCTAAAAAAATTAAACCTTTTACTTTTTGCTAATTGTTGTTTATTCTTAAGTTATGTATTTTAAACGTTAATCCTCTTAATGCATTATGAAACTAAGTATAAAAAAGCATCTAAAAATTAAATCTTCATTAATGTGCTGTAGAGATTGTCAGCAGAAACAAGCACACATTCAAAGCGAGAAAATAATGAACAGTAAGATTTGTTATAATGACATGTAGTTATTTCACTTTTAATACTTTTTTTTATTCCTTCACCTCTTCTCCCTACTCTTTCTTTTCTTCAGAAATTACTGATATTTGCTCCAGGAATTTTAACATGGCACAGAAAGTTAACAGCACTCCATGTTTGTCTTGCAAGGCTGAAGATTCTTCTTTAAGCACTTCAGATGCAAATGTAATAGAACATAAAAGTATGAGTTCACACCAGATAAGATTCATCTTCTTGCTTATCTTGAGGTATCTAGTTTAAGCTACTCATTCGGGCTTCCTTCACAATCACTGGTAAAAGACATGTATCTTCAGAAGGTGATAAAACTTACCTTAGTTTCTTAGGATAACCTGAGAAACCCTCCCTCTCCATGGACAAACAGCTGGCTCAGTTGCCATGCTTTAGTTTCAATGTTCAGGGTAGGTGAGATTAATCCCAGCAGAAAGAACCCACAGGCTCATACATTTGCCTGCACATTTAAAAGTGTATTTGTGCTTAACAAAGTCGGACTACGCTCACAGCTAGATAAAAATAACTTGCTGAGTTACACAGCTGACAACAACAATTATATTTACAAAACAGAATTCATGCACATTTACCTAGTCTTTTTTCTACTTTTAAAGCATATAGAAAAAAAAGCTGTTCTCCAAACTATCAAGAAAAGAGTTTTCAATACCCTTTAACAGATAAAATATCTCTTTAACAGGTACTTAACAGGTAGATTTGAGTAATATTTGGTAAAACAAGAATGATGAAACTGAATCTGTAAGAGAAACTGTTCTGTGAAACGCAGGTTAAAAACTTCTACCTTGGTTAGCATTTAAGTAATTCCATGAACAGTCTATAAATACTGAAGAAAAACATACCTGGCATCAATTCAGCAGTATGGAATATCTTCTCCTGCTTCATTTTACTTTCTTGCAGTAACTCTTCTTTGGTTATTGGAAGATCTAGAACGTCGCAAATAATCTGCGCCCCTTCTAGTGCTTTTTTACCCATGACCAAGGATTTCACATCCCAGGTATAGGTCTTTCCAAAACGCCCGCAGATCTCTTCGAACACTACTGTATAGAGATGCTCAGTATCTGCCAAAAAATAAAAAAAAATAAAAGAAATTAAACCCATGTACAGCCAGCTGAGCAGCCAGTCTTCCAAAGAGGACTAGATAAATGGTCACAGTGAACTACCAGAAGCCTCCCTGTATTTGCAGAGGGGAAGGAAGACAGACTTCTAAGATCACTCAGAGGTATCTAGGTTTTTCAGGCTGTCACTTCTGTGTTAAGAAATGGTTATTGAAGATCACAACAAAGAACTATCTGGACCTGCACTTTCATTACCTTTCTTTACTACACAGGTTAGCCAGCAGTGTCCTAGTTAAAATACTCTATTTATTCTTTGCATGAGAAAGAAAAGAAGGTAAGAAATCTAATACTTGGGGGTTGTTATTACATATTCTATGTAAATTGGGGGAAAAAAAAGGTTTAATTATTTAAGAATGTCTTTGAACAGAAGCTTCAGAGTGCCTTCAAAGACACTACAGTCATTATTATAGTGCTGCTGGCACCTCTGCATTTACATGCGATTACTCAAGCAGAACACACCCACTTCTATTTCCAGGGGGTTTCTGGCAAGGGTAAACTTCAGGCTGGATTTTGACAGTGAAACTATCAGCTTTTGTGTCACAGGTGGCTTTAGCTTTCAAACTAATATTTTTTTTTAATACAAACAAACAATCCTTCCTGTCTTTCCTCCCAGACAAATTTTTGAAAAAGAAGGCCAATAACATTTCATTTAATAATAAAATGGGGAAGAAGAGTCCTTTCAACTCTTGGCTTCATTTCAACAAAGAACTTAAGCAGTGGCTTTTCTACTAGTCTGTTTATCTTTTTAAGTAGTCTCCTCTGAAATGCCAGCTACTGCTGTTAACCATGCTTTAATTTCCTTCTCATACATGTCTTTGCCTTCTGTATCTCTGAAGATATGTTTATTATTACCATCACTTCAGTAATGAAAGGCAAAAGCAAGGAAATAAAGTAGTTGGTCTTAGGAGATTTATTTAGAGTAATCAGGGGCTTCACTTATCAACATGTCCTTTGCCATGTAAAAATACTTTTTATAGGGATAATGAAATAGTGAAATTATTCATGCAGACATTACCTCACTTTCTGAGAATCTAAGAAGTATGCAATAGCATTTCAACTTTAAGCTTTAACATCGATACTGTGAAGAAGACAGACGGAAGAAAGAAGAGTGAAGTCCATGACTACAATATATAGTGATCTTCCCTGCAGTCTGACAATTGCTTGTTGCTTAACCAGAATAATCTGCTTGTCCTGAGATCAGCAGATGATTCCCATCTGAAATCAAATGAGAAACACAGGGGCCGTTTCCCATCGTCACACCTACCAGCATGTGAACACACAGCAAGGCGGAAGGCACACTGCTGCCTGCCAGATCGCTCTTCTCCATGTTCCCCTTCAGTAACTAGAAGGGATGTTGAGCCAAAAGATCAGCTGAAGACTCAACACACTTTTCTGGACTGCTTAACAGGGCAACAAACTGCTCACAAAAACCTCTTAGCTTAAAAATGAAAGAAAAAAAATAGCACCTGTGCTAGTTTAAAATTGAAACTGAAAATTAATCCTTATCTTATTAAGGAATACAAAGTAAACTAAGCAGAAATAAAACAAAATAAGGAATCAAACAGTATAATTGTAGAATATGAAACTGTTGCTACAGGTCTCTGTGATAATTACATGTTAATCTATTTGCAAGTGAAAGATTCAACTGCATAGCTAAAGATAGTTAATTTAATAGCCTCCTGCATTTTAAATATCACATGCCAGACTTCCGAACAAATTTTTTTCTTCTTAAAGAAATGCTTAATGATGTCCAGACTGCAGACCTAAAAATAAGCTGTTATGCAATGTTGCAGTTTGCCAGCTGAAGAGCACTAATGTACAAGTTTAAATCAAATGTATTAAAATAGTTAATTGTTATCCTATTTGTATTGTATTAGAACTTAATTTTCTCAGTGCTGAGAAAAAAACCCAAACAACACAAAACAAACAAACCCCAACACTGGTCAATGCACACAACTGATCATTCCCTACATTTAATTTAAATGTGTGTTAGTCTCACATATTACTCCAGTGTTTAAAGCAACATAAATGCTTAAACATGCAGGATGTCAGAAAGCCACATTTTCTTCCCTCTTGTCATTAATTAAGTGTAAAAAGAATTCATTTCCAACTTTTGTTCCAAACAGATCACTATCACTCTGCCTGAAGTCATGGCATTTGGACCCTGGACAGCAACTTGGTTGCAATGAAAATTATCATCACCTCAAGTTTCATGATCTCTTTTAAGATTCTATATATTTGCAATCCTTGAGAAACAATGTTATTTTTACTCATGACTGGATGATAAAAGCAAAGATGTGGACTTTCACTTGCTTGAAAAGGCATGTTTCACTACAGCACTTGAATAGCGAACACACACACACTGCAAAACCAGAATCTAAGGAGACACTGCTGAAAAATCTGCACTTTGTACATGCATGTATAACAGATACGGGCATACAATCCCTTTTGATTGAAGACAAAGAAAAATCTGTATGCCCTCCTTTTAATAAGACAGCAGTAAATAAATCCTAAATAACAGTTCAAGATTTCTTATTCCCATTGAAATCGAGGAATCTCAAAAAAAAGCTTAACAAGTATCAGGTAGGCTACCTTTTTTTGCCACTGTAACATGAGATAAACCGTAACACTACTGACTGATCAGGGTTGAAGTACAGCAAGGAACCATAATTTCAAACTGTTATAATCTGCAATACAACAAGAAATTAATGCATACACATGAATATAACACATCAATGAAATAAAAAAATCAAAGGGAATTAGAAGTTCAATTCACGTGCCTAACTATAGGCACCTACTGGTATCTTAGACACCATAGTATGTCCAAGACATCCACACACAGCTGACATCACAAAAAGAAGTCTGGGAGAGACTCACACCTTACTGCATGAGCAGCTGGTTGCCCTACAGCATCCCAAGTGGTAAATACATTTCAGCAACTGTATCTGGCACCAGTTGCTAGGTCCCATCAGGAATGCATGCTGAGAACACAGCAGGACATACCTGGCAGTGGCCTGTTCTAACAGGAAAGGAAAAGCAAGACTTCTTAGCCCCTGCAATTTGCAGCAAATGTATAACCTCAGCTTCATTCTCTTCTGCCTTACAAAATATTCTTCATCTTTCTAGCTCTAGTCCCTTGATATATCTTTTACATGGACATTATCAGCATGATGTACTGTCCATCCACTTGCTACATTTCACTGGGAATGAGTGATATTCATTCCCTAGCCACATATCATTTTCTAGTAATTTTTATAGCAACCCTTCTTCTGTATAAAGAGCACAGCCAACTCCACTGGTGCTGTTTACAGTGTGTAAAAGCCAGTCACAATAAATACAAATAAAGTGACAAGAATGACAGAGGCACTGCATTACTCAATTTGTGATCTAGCACAAAAATATGCTGACACATATTCAGAAAAACCTGAAGGTCACTTGGCATCAGACCACAGCACGTAAGTGGAGCGTATGATTTGGTCAAATCACTACAGATTCGCAATTAGAAGTGCAGATCTACCTAGGTTAGGGGTACAGCAAGCATTAAGGCAGCATCTAAACCTCCACTCTACCAACCATTGAGTTACACATGAAGACAAGTTAACACAGATTATGACTTCATGAACGAATATGGAACTTGACATTTCAGAAGGTTATATGCCTTCTGAAATTATTAAAATTGTTTTATTGTAATTCTAAAATAATCTCTAGTTTATCAAGGAGGTAACGTTAGAAGGCATGAACGCTCATCCATTGGTTCTGAATTGTTTTTTTATTAACCCATCCCATCTTCACTTCAAACTTCACAGATGAAATACACCTATGAATAATCCTTCAGGAAACTAAACAGAACTTTAATTGTGTACATCCAATATATTCCAATAAATCAAAACCAGATCCTGGAAACCTAAACTCTGCAAGATTTTTATGTTCATCGTGGATAGAGATATGGTCAAAGGGAATAATTTTAATTCAAACCACAGGTTTCTTGTGTCCATTCCTGAGGCAATTTTCTGTCCATATGTAGAAGAGAACCATCTTCAGTATTTGATTAGCCAAATTCAAAAACACATAGTCATTTTACCAATGTCTTGGCCCAATACTGAGAAAATCCCATGAGATTTTTGGCTCCATCAATACTGAACAAACACAGAGATGACTATGATTTGACTATCCAATTAGTCTTTTACAATATTCCTTTAATGTCTTTAGGGATGCAACAGTGTAAGAAGCCACATAAATCACTGAAATGCTCATTTGAGAAGAGAAATGAAAAAGACAAGAGAGAAATATAACTACAAACCAGAACATAATTATAGAAGTGGAAATTTTTGCAACTCATTTAATGGCATGTAGCACAGTATAAAGTGTTAACTTGCAAACAAATATATAGAATTGTTGAAATAGTGAGGGTATTCAACATTCCAGAGACTATTAGATATTTCTTCTACTCATGGAGTTATAGTAATAGTAATGACATTTACATTTTCTGTTATTACTGGATTTACATGTAACACAGGCCTGTCTGTCTTTATTCTCCCACTGTATCAACTGAACAGTGTTAAACACAGTATTAAAACACAGTAATGGCAAAACCAATACAGTGACAGATTTCCCATCACAAAGACTAACTTTGCCAAGTCTTGAATATCACATACAGAAGTCAGGCAATGGTCCTCCAAGATTCATGCCCACCTACTTCAATATCAGCAAAACCATGAACTTATGGTTGTCCAGCATACAAATGATGTGGCTGATCAGCTCACTGACCAGCCGTGTTAAGCCTGTGAGACTCAGAAGTATGATAAATGCTGAGCCTAACTGCATAAAAGCCAGGGAATGGATGTCTCTCAGCAAGGGTCTGTGCTCTAGAGATCCACCATCAAGCCTGCCATTCTACAACCTCTCCCCAAAGACAGTACCTGCTCTTAGCTTGTTAACTGACAGAAGTGAACTATCCATATAACTGAGGAAATGAGCAACAGCGGTACATTCACCACATTTCCAAAGAGTACGTGGATTATCACAGAGTTTAAGAAACACCACTTCAAGGAAAAAAAAAACAAACAAAAAAAACCCCAAACATATAACCATCCACAAAACTTACAAGACCCTGCTGATGATTTTTACAGAATCATGGCATCCTTTCAAGTTGGAAAGGATCCACAAAGAATCATGGCATCACAGAATGGCTTAGGTTGAAAGAGACCTTAAAGTATCTTCTAATTCCAACCCCCCTTCCATGGACAGGGACACCTTCCACTAGACCAGGTTGCTCAAAGCCTCATCCAGCCTGGCCTTGAACACTTCCAGGGATGGGGCATCCACAGCTTCTCTGGGCAATCTGTCCAGTGCTTCACCACCCTCTCCGTGAAGACATTGTGTTGCATACTTAATAAGACCATGGTGACACACCTGAGTATTTTCACCTTATCTCACATGAAAGAAAATGAAACCAAAGTGATTTTAACATATTATTACAAAACCAGAGAAAACAGACTTGTTCATGGTAAGAAGGGCTACCTATACACAGCTAATTTACAGTTTCTCAAAACAGTGCATATCCAGAATCCTGTCCAGGTCCCTCTGGATAACATCCCTTCCCTCCAGCGTGTTGACTGCACCACACAGCTTGGTGTCGTCAGCAAACTTGCTGAGGGTGCACTCAATGCCATCATCCATGTCACTGCTGAAGAAGTTAAACAGCACAGGTTCCAACACCAACCCCTGAGGAATGTGGTTCGTCACCGGTCTCCATTCAGACATTGAGCCATTCACCATCACTCTCCAAGTGCGATTATCAAGGCAGTTCCTTATCAAGTGAGTGGTCCATCCGTCAAATCCATGTCTCTCTGATTTAGAAACAAGGATGTCGTGCAGGATGGTATCAAAGGCTTTGCACAAGTCCACGTAGATGACATCAACTGCCTGTCCTCTATCCACCAAGGTCGTGACCCCATCGTAGAAGAACACCATATTCATCAGGCATGATCTGCCCTTGGTGAAGCCATGCTGGCTGTCACCAATCACCTCCTCATTCTCCATGTGCCTCAGCACGGCTTCCAGGAGGATCTGCTGCATGATCTTGACAGGCATGTCCAGAGGCGAGACTGACTGGCCTGTAGTTCCCCAGATCCTCTTTTTTCCCCTTTTTAAAGATGGGGGTTATGTTTCCCCTTTTCCAGTCAGTGGGAACTTCACCAGACCGCCATGACTTCTGAAATACGATGGATAGAGGTTTCGCAACCCCACCCGCCAGTTCATTCACAACCTGCGGATGTATTTCATCAGGTCCCATGGAACATCAAGTCTAACTCCCTGCTCCTCACAGGACTACCTAAAAAT